CCTCCCTTGCTTTGGATCTTCAAGTTTACATAAAAGGAAACTTCAAAAAGTATCTAAAAGCTTTTGTCTGTACATTTTTCCTCCACGCCTAAGATACAAGACACACCTGAAAGCTGTTTGACTAGTTATTCTAATCTCTCTAAACATTTCCCCAAAACATTTTGAACACTAAGGGCACAGCTGTTTAACAGGACAATCCTAAAGTCATATATGACAACTCAGACTTCCAAGTCTTTTTCTTCTTATGAGCTCCTGAAATAATTACATGCCAATTATATTTCAAATGATTAGAGATCAAGGACTTGCTCTTCTGGAGAGAAGGAAACCGCTTACCTTAGAACTCGGTTCCCTTGAATACAGGAGGTGAAATTCAGAAGGAAATGTAAACAGCACCAGAAACTTCAAAGGTAGTCCCAGTTGGTGTGGTAGGCATGCAGGGGGCCAGAAGAAAGCCTGTCCAGCCAGGCTTTATGCCAATGCAGACTCCTTTAGTCTCACAGGCCAATGTAGTCATGTTTAAATAAGGGAAAATCTCAGGAAAATTCATTCCCCACCTCCCTGCAATACTTTTTCCCATTCTACTGTGAAGTTATAGTTTTATCTTACATTAATGAGCCAAAAGAAATTGTAAAAAGGTGTCAAGCAAAGCCTTGTTCTTAACGCTTATAGGTATAAACACACCTTACAAGTTACCTACGCCCTTGGCCTATCCTCTCCACGAGAGACCCCATCATAGATCTCAAGCTTCTAACTGGAGAGCTCCAGAGTAAAGTCATGAAGGGCTCCAGCCTTTCCCCAGACCCCGGTCACAAAGCTCAGCGTTCTAGTCCAGCAGCAGAAACACCACAACGGACTGACATCCTCAACTCTCAGTGCCCATTTTAAGTCAATGCTTTCGTGCATGTATGTACTGATGTAAAGGCAAGAATGCCTGCCCACATCAAATGCAGGACCCCTGAACTCTGAGAGGATATAGAGCTACAACCAGTATCTTGCAAGATCTCCATCAGGAACCAAGCATACCTACACTTACCACAAGTTGAATGTACACCATTTGGAAGTTCATTCGTAGCTAAAGACTGACCACAGCTAGAGAAGCCCATCGATCATCTGTTACCCACAACAGATCAAAGGATTCCTCTATTCCTGACTTCCACTGGAATCTCAAGAGGCTGCTGAGGTTTCCCAATGTAGATACTGTGTCTACAGTTGCAGCCATAAATCCTAGGGCCAAGCATCGTCCGAGCTGTGATTTTTGTAAAAACTCATTCCCAAACTCTACCGTCACCCTGCTGGGTAAACAATGTCCTGAATTCTGCTCTGGACACAAACATATGTGCTGGACTTTGCCTAGCAGCATCCTTTTCAATTTTGTACTGCAGTAATCTATAGGAGGGATACAAGTTGGGACCAGAGTTAATCTTAACACTGGACCCAATAAGCCTGATTTGCGTTTGCACTAAGAACTCTGTATATGGCAGTATCCAGGCATCTTAAAGAAGATGCAAATGTAAGGAACATTAGTAGTGCTAGAGAGGTGTAAAATGGGTTTTCTGTAATAAGAGTAAGGCCCAATGTCTCCTGAACAGATTGCTGATTAGATGATTCTGCAGAAGAGTACATGGGCACCTGCAGTAGGAACGTGAGGGTGCACATGCACATGCTTCCCACTCTACAAAACAAAAGCAAGATTTTCTTTAGGTTTTCCAATTCCTCTGCGAGTGACCAAGCATGTAGGTAGATACAAGTGTATATAAGTGTATGCAAGAAACTAGATTAGATTCTAAGCATGGCATACACTTGATGGGAACACACTTCTGATGGGCAGACATTGCAATTTCCATTTCATTTCCTGCAACTGTATGGTTAAGTTTTCACAGTGGATAAAAGAATCAGGATCCAAATTAAAGAACAGAAGAGAACATTTACAGAGAAAGCTCTCTCATACCCTTTAATTCTTCTTAATTAATTCCAAGTAATGTTAGTTTTACAGGAGGGACTTGTAATGAAACACTTTAACAACCAATTCGTGATTGACAGAAAACTTTGCTTTGATACAAAAATCTGAAAGAATGTGAAACAAATCCGGACAGACTCAGAACTGGACTATGGGGGAAAGTGTCATTCAAATTCTCTCTTGCATGATAAAAATGTCATGTCAAAGACGCACTGAAAGTGCTTTCTGAAGATTACTATCAATGTTTTGTTTATTTCCTGTATTTTAAGTTAGAATGATAGTACTTCCAACTCCTCAAACGCCTGCATAGATCAAAGGCACTGGCATAACACCAAAACCCAAGGCTCACGCTGTTTAATAGACTACTGGGATCTCTATGCAACCTCAGGATCTGAAATGGGTGTTCTACAATAATCGGCTCCCAAGCAGAGGTCCATGAACAACTGGTGGTCAACATCATCATGTTAAGGGGTCTAAAGTTGGTCTGTGGGTTGCATGAGGCTCTCACACCTTTATAATAAATATCAGTTAAAAGGTCTGAGAAGGGCACATGGAGTTGAAGAGAAACTCTGAGCATTGACAGTGGTCTGTAGGTCCAGAACACTTGGGAAGCAGTGTCTAACATGCTACTTTGCAGCCACTACAGCAATGGGCTAGGGGAAGGGAACTGAAGTGCAGGCTAATTCAAACCTTTCAGATAATTTATTTTCATAAAGTCTCTCTCATACTCTCTTTACGCACCAAGTAGTAGTAGCTGGAGTGTTTGTTTCCGTGTAACCATACACATTCTAAAGTCTTATCCTTTCTTACAGCACTCATTTGAAATTATAAATCTTCAGAACAGCTCCAGAAAGCCTGCTCAATTTGTTCACCCAAATACCACAACTTCAAATGTAAATTAGATCATTTGGCACACATTTAATTATAGTCACTTGCATGTGCAGTTACTACCACTGTATCT